GATGGGTGTGTCAGAGGCAATGAGATTGGCACAGGGTAGAGCAGGGTTTAGGGCTGTTGTACATAGGGTCGCTATGAGTCGCAAACGACTCTACGGCACATAACAACAACAACAGCAACTTTGTGTTATATTTAGTAAGTAGAAATCATTGCTCTTTGTGTATAGCTTCATATATTTGTTGTATATGAGGAAATTAATTTATTGCATCATTTAATTAACAGATGTTTGATAGTAGATTAGAAATAATTCATGTTTAGACTTAGAATTCTTTTTCAGGAGAGGAGGAAAAATCATTAGGATAACAGGTTTGTGGGCCTGTATGTGAACAAATAGGAAAGATGTTATGGAAACTTGATGAGATGGGGTGATGAAAGACATAGATCAATAGTAATTATTTATGTAAAATACAATGTATATGAATGATTGTATAAAATACAATGTAAATTAATGAAGCACAATGTATACAAATGATTGTATATAGAGCATTAAAATTTTTTAAATATACATTATATTCTAATGAAAGTTTATATTCTAATATATAATAAAAAGTAATCTAATTCCTTTTATTTTCTTATTTCACAGCTTGGCTCATCCTCTTCTGTGCCTTTTACATCTATATTTTCTCAACTTTTTATGACTGTAGTGGTTCCTCTCATTATTGGACAGGTAAGATCTTCTATTCTACTTGATCTTTTCTTTGTAGATCAACTTTGTGAATTCTTATGCAGTGTCCAGGCAATTAAGGAAATAGATCTTTAGAATGAAGAGATAATAAAAAATATAAGCCTTCATCAGTCAAAATGTTTTCCCCTTTATATATTTTACTTGGCATCAATCAGCTTTGCAAATAACTATATGGACTTCAGTACAGAATATTATTTTTATTCATCACCCCTTCTTTGTCGCTGCATAAGTAGCTTTAAAACAAATAGCAAATCACTACCTTTCTAAGCAACTTTCAAAAGGCTTCAGCCATGTTTATAGGAATCTTCTCATCGATTCTTCCAACAGTAATTACCGTATCACGTAATTGATAAAATAAACCTTTCATCCTCTTGTTGTTGTTGTTGTTATGTGCCGTCGAGTCGCCTGCGACTCATAACGACCCCATGTACAACAGCCCTAAACTCTTCTCTGTCCTGTGCCAATCACACCGTCTCCGACACTCCCATCCCAATTATCCCAGTCACTGAATCAATCCACCTCATAGAGGGCCTTCCTCTCCTGCACTCTTAAAATTAGGTCTTGCAAATTTCAGAATTTCTTTTCATATCTCTATTCAATTAGAAAACTAGAAAAAATATTCTACTTTAACTTCTTATAAGAAATTAATAGTAAATAACTCATAAGCATATACATTTAAAATCAGGTTTGGTTTTTAATTATGATTGACCACACTAACATAGCACAAAATTTAATGTACTGCTGGAATTAATATGTCTTCAGAAACATATTCATGTTATTAGTATATTCTGATCAGTAAGAGTACTTAGTTTAAGAGCAAATAGATTCTACACAGAACTCCCTTATTCACTGTGTGGCATTGGTCAAGTTGCTTAATCTTCAGTGCTCCACACATAATTTCTTTTCTTTCCTTATTGCCTTTGCTCAGAAAGATTCAACGCTGGTTAAATCCAATCTTGTTCATTTCCATCAGATTCCACAATCCTTCGTTATCCTCACTCCTTGGACAACTCTTAACTTCTTGACTCTCTTTCTCTCCATTGTGAAATCTCTTCTTGTGCAGTTGACAGCCTCTAATACCTGTTGGAGGGTGAGCTTCAGACTCTTCTAATTGAGTTAATTGAGTGGCAGTGAGAACAAGAGAGCACACTGACCTTAGTTTCCAGTAAGTTGACTCGGATCTTATGTGTAACAGAATGAAACATCGCCTGTGATACTGCAGCGTCCTCAGGATTTTTGAGCTCATAGTGGCAGCCATGGTGTCAATCCAATTCATTGCAAGTTTTTTCTCATATTCACCTACTGTACCTCACAAAGGTCTGATTTTGCATATAGTGGAACAACTGGACTTGCCTAGAGAGAAAGACATAATTATTTTCATCTTTTAAATTCTTGACCTCACATTTAAGATGTGTCTTTAACACTTCCTAGAATTCTGTTGTATTTGCTTATGAAGTTTTTTTTATCTCCCAAATTCTTCGCACCCTAACTTCTATTTTCAAATCTCTTTTAACTATCATCCCTCTGCAATACTCTCTCACTCTTGCATACATTCAGATTTGCTGACTTTACTTTTGTTTTCAAATATGCTGATCTTATAAATCTTGGCATATCCCTCTTCATCTTTACATGTCTAGCTTTCTCTAATCATTCAGTTCAAAGGTCACCTCAGAAACATGATCCTCACAAAGGAGAAAAGTATGCCTGGAAGTCATTTATATTGGTAGGCAGTGGCAAAGCCCAAGGTAGACTTCACATAGAACCCCCACCTTATATAATAACTATTTGATTATTATTTTTCTACTCTAGTTTAAATTCTGCTTATCATTCCATTGTTACTGCTTCTGGTTTCTTTATTATTTATGGTTTTTATTTATCTTCCAAACTAGACTGTAAACTCCCTAAAAACAGGTACTTTGTGAGACTAGCTCATCTCTGATTTATTTTCCATCTGTTGACTCACATAACTTTTATGTGACCTTTGAGAATTTTTTAAAAAATGAGTGTATGTGCTATTTCAGAGAAAATACATGCCAAGTAAAGTTGCCCCTTTTCTCAGTTTCTTAATTGTTACTGGAAGGGCTAGACCGGAAAATAAGTATTTGCACAGATTTTTTGTGTGTGTGTATGATTTTTTTAATTTTATACTAGTTTATTTACAATATTTGAATGCATTGTTTTCAAGAACAGATTTTTTCCAATTTCCCTCACTCCCCCACCCATCATATTATCCAACTCCATGATTAATACCCCTGCCTCTTGCACATCCTCATCCCTCTGCTTCCACCCTCCCCACCCCCTTGGATCCTTATACTCATTCTACAATAATGGTTTTATATAATCTTTGCCCTTGTGGGATTAAGTTAATTAATAATCTGCTTATCATGTATTTATCATGAGTTTATCATGATCTGTTAAGCAAGCAATAGATATTAAAGGTAGAAAATAGCTATACAACCTTCTTCAGGAGGATGAAATAAGGTAATAGTAGGAAATTTTAAAAAATATTTGAAACAACCTATGTGCCCATCAACAAACAAATGGATAGAGAAGCTGTGGTATATTCACATAATGGAATACTATACTGCATTGAAAAACAAGAAACTCATGCAATATTATTCAAAATGGGGGACCCTGGAGGACATTATGCTGAGTGAAGTATCTCAGTCACAAAAGGACAAATACTGTATGGTGCCACTGTTGTAAAACAGGACTGACATCGGGATTGGGGGGAGACTGAAAAAGATGGGATAAATAATGTATACTGCACTGAAACAGATGAGGGAGAAAACTGTTTAAAAGGGATATGTGATTAGGTATTTTTGTCATGACAGGAGTCCAAAGCGAAGGCTGCATAGTGGAGTGGACTTGAGGGGAGGGATTGTGAAACAGTGAAAGAATTTTTCTTTTACTTTTCAAAGAGAAGAGTGAACTGGGGGCAGAGGGGTGGGCAGGGAGAAAAGTGAATGAATGAATGGAAATCCAAAGTCTCTGTATATTTTCATTGAAATTAATAATAAAAAAAATTACAAAAAAATTTGAAAAGTGAAATAGATAATGGATATTTATTGTACCCACTTACTATTACTATTCTTTGCACTTTTTACAAAGTATATTAATATTATTTTTTAATATATTAAATATTTACTTTCTAATCACCTCTAATCATTTAATGATAAGGAGTGCTGCCAATGCCAAGTGCGGCCAACCCAAAGGCATGCTGTTTGAATCCACCAGCTACTCCATGGGAGAAAGATGAGCAGTTTCCCACCATGTTATTGTCTGCCACTGAAAACTCACTGAAGGGTCAGCTATAAGTTGATTCCTACTCGACAGTACTCAAGAACAGCAACTGTGTAATTCATTTGAATTTACAGTTAATACTTAAGGATTGAGCAGTCAGGAAATCAAATGATGTATTGCATTGGGAAAATCTTCTGTAAAAGACTTGAACGATGTCTAAAGAACAAAGGTATCAGTTAACACACTAAGGTGCATCTGCCCTAAGTATTATCAGTCAGCTCCTACACCTCTGCTGCTGTACCAGATATACCACAAGTGCATGGCTTTTTACAAACAGGTGTGTGTGTTTTTAACAAACACAAATTTCTTTTCTTTATTTTTATTTATTTATTTTTCTCTTTTTTAAAACAAAAAGGAGCTCTGATGGGAGTTGTATTGCCAACCCAAAGGCAGATGGTTCAAATCCACCAGCAGGTCCTTGGAAGAGAAGTGAGTGGACAGTTTCCTTTCATGCAATTTATAGCCTCTAAAGACCTGCTGGAGGATCAGCTATGAATCAGTTTTTACTCTAGGGAGCATAACAACTACAAAGCGGAAAAACAAGAATTCATACTCTTTATAGTATGGATTGAGATAGTGGTTGCAACATGTTGTCATTGTTTTGATTGCCCTTGAGTCAAGCATAACTCATAGTGGCCCTACAAACAGAAGACCTAAAGCCTTTCTATAACTATTGTCGTTTCTTAAAGAAATATAGACATAGAGAGGTTGCAACATAGAGACAAGCAAAACCATGATTGTGAGGATGACGCAGAACTGGGAAATATTTCATTCACTTGTATATAGGGCTCAATATTACCACCACCACCAACACAGGAGTGTGAGAGACAGTTAACAAGGAAGGCTAAAGAAGAATTGATTCCTTTGAAATTTGGCATTGGTGAAGAGTATAGACTGTACCATGACTGCCTAAAGAACAAACACATCTGAAGAAATATAGTCAGGTGCTTCTTGCAGGCAAGGAAGGCAAGACTTAGATACTTTGGCATATTATCAGGAGAGGCAAATCCCTGGGGGAAATATCATATTTGGTGAAATGCAAGATCAGTAACAAAAAAGAGGGAAGAGTTTCAATGAAAGGGATTGACACAGTAACTGAAACAAAGGGTTCGAGCCCTGCAGCCATTGTGAAGATAGAACAGGATGGAGATCCGTTTCATTCTCTTGTTCATGTTGTTGTTGTTGTTATGTGCCGTCGAGTTGTTTCCTACTCATAGCGACCCTATGTACAACAGCCCTAAACCCTGCTCTATCCTGCGCCAACCGCACTGCCTCTGACACACCCATCCCGATTACCCCAGTCACTGAACCGATCCATCTCATAGAGGGTCTTCCCCTCCTGCGCCGTCCCTCCACCCTCCCAAGCATGATGTCCCTCTCCAAGGACCCGTCCCTCCTCGCAACATGTCCAAAGTATGTCAGACGAAGCCCCAGAATCCTTGCCTCCAAGGAGTAGCTTGGTTTAATCCTCTCCAAGATGAATCTGTTTGTTTTCCTGGCAGTCCATGGTACATTCAGTACCCTTCTCCAGCACCACAGCTCAAAAGCATCCACTCTCCTTCTGTCCTCCCTAGTCATTGTCCAACTCTCTGATGCATAACAAGCGATTGCAAATACCATGACCTGTATCAGGCGCACCTTAGTCTCCAGAGAGACACTGTTGCTCCTGAGTACCTTTGAGAGGTCCCTAACAGCAGACTTTCCCATCGTGATACGCTTTTTGATTTCCTGACTGCTGGTGCCAAGAGTGTTGACTGTGGAGCCGAGCAAACTGAAGCTGTGAACACTCTCAATCTCTTCATCATCCATCCTGACGCTGCCAATTGGTCCAGTGGCGAGAATCTTTGTCTTCTTGACATTGAGCCTCAGTCCATACTGAAGGCTGCAGTCCTTGATAGGGTTGGTTATTCTGAGTTGGAATAAACTCAGGGACACCCAAAACCAACAAATACTTTAAAAACATTATTTAAAGTTCAACATTTTATACAATGAATTCTATTTTATATCCCTGGCTATACAATAAAATTCATCGTATAGAATGTTGAACTTTAAATGTTTTTTAAGTATTTGTTGTTAGCATGAGTGGCATCTACTTCCTACAAAACATGCCTCTGGAAACTCTATGAACTTTGATAAATGATAATAGTCATAGAAAGACTTCAGGCCTTTTGTTCATAGGCTCACAATGAGTTGTGCTCAACTTGATGACAATCAACAACAACAACATCATCCCTGGCTATCTATTTCTGTTGAATATTAATGAGGAAACAAGCCACATTACAAAAATACATGAATTCAGTGAATTTAAAGGTAAAAATTGGAGAAATAATCTCAAGCTACCTGGAAGTAAATACGTTGTGAAGTTCAAATATAACATGAAAAATTATCTGTCATAGCACCACCCAAGAATCAATTTTGAAAATATAAATACAGAATGAGGAGGAAAATAGCAAAGAAATGCCTGGCCAGAGCTAAAATTAAAATGACGGTGCAGTGTTTTCTAAGAAAGTGTTAAATATTTCATTCCAGCAAGGAAGTCTGGAATTTTGTTTAAATCACATATATTCTTGACAAATGTTGTTGTTGTTGTTGTTGTTGTTGTTGTTGTTGTTGTTGTTATGTGCCATCAAGTTGCTTGCAACTCATAGCGACCCTATGTACAACAGCTCTAAACTCTGCTCTGTCCTGTGCCAATCGCACTGTCTCTGACACACCCATCCCAATTACCCAAGTCACCGAATCAATCCCCCTCATAGAGGACCTTCCTTTCCTGCGCCTGATGTCCTTCTCCAAGGAAATGGAGAATGATAATGTTAAAATTTCAACTGGCTGAATTAAGAGATGGTGAAGTTTGCTGTGCAGTGTAGTTTATAGCCAAAGCACACCTTTAAATCATGTCAATACTACTTAAAGTTTTTTTGGTGCACAACAGGGAACCCTGGTGGCCTACTGGTAAGATTAGGCTTAATACGTATGACAACAGCCCATAATAGGAAGTATATCATTGCAAAGAGGACTTGGTGGGGGGAGGTCCACAATTGTGCAATAATCATTTAATATTTTTTTTAAAAGTGAACTGGGTGCGGGGAAAGGGAGAGAGAAGGATTAAAATGTGCAACAAAGAGTGAATGAAAATACAACTTCTCTGTAAATGTTCATTAAAATCACAATTAAAATAAAATATTATTAAAAAAAAAAAAGAAGAAGAAGAAACTGTCCTGCAGTCACAAGGCCAGCTGTTCAAATACACCAGTTGCTCCATGGGGGAAGGATGGGATTAACTGCCTCTGAATACCTGCTGGAGGATCAGCTATGAGTCATTTTCAGAAGGATAGATTTATTTTTTTAATTGTTGTTGAGTCAGAACCAACTCATATCTGACCCCCTAGTGGGTTTTCCGAGGCAATCAATTGCACAGGAGGAGAATGCCATCTTTCTGCAGTGGAGCAATTGGTGGATTGGACCCATATGCCTTTGAGTTGGCAGCACAAATCCTTCTTGTTGTTGCTATTGTTGTTGTTAGGTCAAGACAACACACAAGTCTTAGCAACTGTATGAACAACAGACCTGAATCCTGTCCTGTCCTCTGCCATCCTCATCATTTCTGATAAACTTCAGCCCACTGCTGCAGTCACCGTGTCAATCCACCTTGCTGAGCATCTTCTTTTTTGCTGATCCTCCACTTTTCCAAACATGATATTCCTTTCCAATGAATAGCTTCTCCTAGCAACATGTGAAAAGTATAAGAAACAAAGTTGTGCCATCCTTGCCTGCAAGTGGCACTCTGGCTGCACCTTCTCCTAGGCATATCTGTTTGCTCTTTTGGCAGTCCATGGGACTCTTCTCCAGCACCCACAGCTCAGATGCATCGATTCTTCTCTGTCATCCTTATTCATTGTCCAACTCTCAGAGGCATAACAAGTGATTGAAAAGACTGTGGCCTGAATCAGGCACACTTTAGTCTTCAAGTGGACATCATTGCTTTTCAGCATTTTGGAGAGGTAACTGACAGCAGGCATATCTAAAGCTGTATGTCTCCTGATCTCCTGATTGTTGGTACGAAGGGTACTGATTATGGATCTAAGTAAGATGAAATAATTACCAGATCTGTGGAGCCTGGAAAGGTAGAATGTGCTTTGCTTAGGGAAAAACTCAGAACAAAACCAAAACAGGTGAAAAACAACCTGATTTCCCCTCGGGTTGGTTTGTTGTTGTTGTTGTTTGTTTTTTACTTATGGATCTTTGTCAGATTCCTAACTTTGCAGACTTGTAAGTGTCCACCATTAATTCATTTAGAAGAAAGACATTTTACTTAGGAAAGAGCCAGGACTCAGGTCACTGTACTTAAAAAATCCTTTATTATCAGACTCTGAAAGATATTAGCACAACTAAGTCAAGTTACTGCTTATAAAATGGAATGATCATTTGTCTTGTTTTTTTTTTTAAATGTGGATGATTTTCCTGGTATATGCCACCCATTTATTTGCGTATTTTAGGAGTAAGGTGGTGCTGGGAGAGGGAGACACTTTACTGTTAGATTTGTGAGAAGACAAACTGTTGCAAGGAGAGAGGGCTGTTGTATTTTAGCAATTGCATATTAAATTAAGATCAGAGAACACCACCTATTTTAATAACATGCATTGTTTTCATGAATTTTTTTCTTAAACACATTTTGTTAAATGTTGGAAATTACAAGCTTTTCATTATAAAGCATAGTGGATTATGAAATGACCTTTTCTATGAAGTCCCTCTATAGCTTTGCAGTAAATAAGCCACTACTCCCAAAGTGGTATGTGTGGACACTGCCATGCTCTCCTATCCAAAATGTGTGTTCTGACACAGTACTTCTCTTATTTCTCTGAACTTTACAACATTTGTAGCTAAAAGAAAGAAATGAACATTAGATAAATCCCTATGGGTTGGGATACGTCTATAAAAACGTATAGTCTTAAAAATATGAATCCAACTGTAACTTTCATAACACAACCTACTTAAATGAGTTGTTTAAACTACTATTTATCTGGTAAATAGGATGCACTCAATACGTGACACTTGTTTCTTTCTTAATTCTCCCAGCCTTGCAATCTTTCCGCTGTCCTTTTGTTCTATCTGATCACCTCTCTGTTGACATTCCCCTTTTACCACTCTTATTTCACTTAGGATGTCCTTGAGAATGGTAGACATTGATCCAAACACCACTTGTTCAAAGGTTCTGTTTTGAGTAGTTTATTTTATACCTTAGTATCTGTGAAAGTATGCTCCATAATAAATTAAGCCTTTTTAATGACAGAGTTTTTTTTTAAGAGAACAGAACCTCATCAGCCTTGTGAGAAGTCCCCTGACCTCATTATTGCTAATGGATCATAGTAATTCAGCCTGTTGTGAAATCTCATGTTCAATTATGCAGGATAATGAGTGACTCAAAATTTAATATGTCTCAACTAGAGTCCTTATGATAGGGCTTTCAAAAGTGAAAGGTTTTAAGCAGAATGACTAAACCCAAAGTTATTATCAATATTCCAATTGTCATGGTTTTTATTTATCTGATTTGATGTTAAGATGAAAGGATTGCTGTGTAACTTTGGATTTCATGGATCCTTTTGTGGCAAAGTTAGGGCAGGTTTCTTCATTTTTACGTGTTAATTCTGGGATTCTAAAAGCATGCAAATGACATTTGTCTTTGGATTCACAAAAACTCCAGATATTCAGAGTTTGAATTATTTAAACTCCCACAACACATGCACTTTTGCTTTTCAAGCATGAGTTATAATTTAATTAAAAACTTCTGGTGCATTGCTAGCATTTTAAATATTAATATGTTCCATGGATCACTTTCGATTATCTACTCTCTAGAAATTCTTGAAGATGTCAGATTTTTAAGATTTCCAAAGTTGTACTTGGAATTGTCTGTTGAGGCAAAGGGGACTGTGATAATTACACACATCCATTAGGATCAGCAGAGGAGATAAACTTTGGGGAGGCTTAATGGGCATGTCTCGGTGACAGCTAGCAAAGAGCATTTGGCATGATTAAGGATGGATTTGAATGCAGTTGAAAATATACTCTCATTATGGACACCCAGTGGAAGTTGCACTACAAATGTTAAATTCCCTAGAAGAAGAGTGGTGTGGCAGGGAAGCTTTGAAATCCACTGTGGCCATCATCCAAATTATTCTCTTCTCTTTATGTCTTTCTGCTGTCAGAATCACTTTGCGATGCCCAATTCGGCTCCCCGGGTTTCTGAAAAGAGGCAACCTGTTGCTCTATGTATTTCAGATTGTCCGGAGGTACATCAAGGAGTGGCTTGAAAGAAAGAAGCCTCCTTTTGGTGCTGTCAGCAGCAGCGTTCTCCTCATGATCATCTACACAACGTTCTGTGACACGTTCTCTAACCCAAATATTGACCTGGATAAATTCAGCCTTGTTGTCATAGTGTTCATAAGTAAGTCGGAAGATGGGCCATCTTTGCTCTCCTCAGTCTCCTCTGTAGCAATATGTGGTGTGATCTGTATGCTCTCCATTTATTTCAATCTTTGATTTGGTTAAGAAAGAATACTTAGTTTCTTGCTCTGTTTTACTTAGTAACTTGATCATGTGTGTCTGTTCTTTCAAAGATGCCAGTCATGAATTTATGGGCTTAATTTTCTTTATTTTTTATGTTCAGTGCATTGTTCTGTGAACTACAGTAGTTGATGCCAGGGAAGCCACAGTATCTGTCAAATTTAAATGTTAGATTGAATAATACTTTGTTACCAACTTATTTTATTATAATTTTTAAATTTATTTCCCCACTTTTGGTGGGTTAGAAACAGAAGTTACAATATGTGATGCTATTATTTGTATATTAATTAGTCAAAATGTGAGTATTCATGTGATTATATTTTCATTAAAGTATGTACACAGTACAATTTTATTTTAAGATGTAACAAACTATGAAATGCAGGTAACTGCTAAATCTCAAAAAAAAATCACCTTTTTTGTTCTATTCATATTATCATGGAGCAGATAACTTTTAATAATATTTTAATAGAAAATAATATTTTGTTATTAAAATCACAAATTATTCTAAAGCATACTATATAGTAAGCATTTACAATGTTTGCTATAGGTATTCATAATATAAACCAGCTTTTTCCTAAATTCATGAAATTAAAGAAAAAAAATTAAAGAGGCCTTTGAATTGTCCCTGAATAATAGGTATCATGGATTATTTCAGAATGTCTCCAAGAATGGATTGAGTCACATGTTTTTATCAGTTTAGCAATGTATGTTTGTTTCACCATTTGAATACCTCCAAGTTCAGATCAAACTAAGTGTGCAGTAAATGAATACTACAAATACTGTCTTTATCATGTTAATTTAGATTTTTTTTTTATTTTAGTATTTTCTATTCAACTGAGCTTTATGCTTTTAACGTTCATATTTTCAACAAGGTAAGTAATTTTGTTCCTCTTACTACTGTTCATTTGTTTCTTAAATGAATCATGTTTACTTGACTTCTATATCACAGCTCTACCCTAGTTTTCCTCCTGTATCCCTGACCACTTTGTCTTCCTCCTGTTCAAATTGTAGATATTACCAAAGGATCTATCCTTGCCCTTGCGTCATCATGTGCTTCACACTATGCTTATGCAACTTCCTCCTTGCTACTGACTCAAGCTGCCATATTCATGTGGGTGATTTCAAAGTCTAGGCCTTCCAATCCAGTGTTTTCCTGACTTCTAGTGCTGTGACTTAACAAGACCTCAGACTCAAGATACTAAAAATGGAGCTACTCTTCTTCCTTAAAAATTTCTTCTTGCATTTCTTTCGTGATGTTTTTCTTTCAGGGTCTAGACTGTTTGGAGTTTGCTGAGCTTCTTGAATGTGAATTTCCTCATTTTTCATAATACTTGGGAAGTTTTCTTCTAGTACTTCTTCCACAATTTTCTCAGTGCTCAGTCCTTCCCTTTCATTCTGGAATTCCAATTACACATCATGTTTTATTTGATATTATCCCACATGACTAATGTTTTATGCCTTTTTCTTCCAGTAAGTTCCCAATGAGGTTCTTGTCTTCTAACTCGCTGACTCTCTGTACCATCTCCTCTATGCTGCTTTTATGTCCCTCCATCATGTTGAAAAATTCTACCATATCAGCCTTGATATTCTGGATTGTGTTTGCATGCATTCCTGTTTTTTCAAGTACTATGTTGTATGTATCCTCTTTGTCTTGTGATGGTTTTTTTTTAAATTGTTGTATCTCTCTACTATGGTTTCAATTCTTTCTTCCATTATTTATAGGTTCTTCAGTGGGAGTTTGTATAACTCCACATCAGTATATTTCTTCTGCCTCTGGGATATTATTGGATCTGCAATCTGGTGTTCATTTTTAGGAGGCTTGTTTTGTTTTTTCATAATTTTTGAAGCTGCCTACTTCTTCCTTGGCATTACCTAAAGTTCTTCCTGGTCTTCCTCGTCTGTGAGATGCAATTTCTGTTGTATCTGCCTAGGTTGTAGGCAGCTCCTTCTCTTAATGATGCTATTGATAAGTTGCAGACCTTAAGTGTTGCCCCCCCCCCCCATTCAGTTTTCCAGTGATAGGTAGTCTTCCCTGCTGGTTGTCTATAGATGGCTCTTTGCCCTGTTTCCTCTGGCAAGATTTTATCCACTTGTGCTTTGAGGAACAGGAAGCTGAGATCTCTCCAGCTCCTCGGCTGTGGTGGGTCCTCACTTCTCTGTTCTGTCCTGTAGTTTGGAGGGGAGTGATTTCCCCTTGGAGGGGAGGAGGAGAAGAGGCCCAGAAAAGTATTGAAGTCCCATCATTGCAGCTCTCATGTCTCAGAATGTACTAATGGCCGGCCCAAGTACCTAGACTAGCTGGGGTGGAGCAGAGGCTCAGGAAATTGGCGAGTTCTCAACAGTGCAGATCCCAAGTCTTGCAAGTTGCTAATAGCCATGTTCTTGTCCCTCTCCCTGGGGTAGTTGGGAGGGGAATATTCCCACCTGAGCAGACAAAGGTTCTTGTGTTTCTTGCTTTACTTTTTAATAGAATCACCATCTTTAGTGGTCTCTTGATTGACACCACTATTTGTTTGCTTATTTGTTTTTATTTTTAATTTTGTATTGTACTAGTTTAATTATAATATTCAAATACATTGTTTTTCAGATCAGATTCTTTCAATCTCCTTTACTCCCCAATCAAATTGTACAACCCCATGATTAATACACACAGACACACACACACACACACACACACATCCTCATTCTTCTGCTTCCACTCTCCCACCCCTCTTGGATCCTCATACTTATTCCACAATAATGGTTTTATACAGTTTTTGTCCTTGTGAGACTGAGTTAGTTCACTCGCGTAATGCTCTCCAGTCCCTCCAAGCTAGGTAATTTACAAAATCATTGCTCCTGCATGTCACATAGTATTCCATATTATCCCATTGTGTGAATGGAGCATAATTTCTCAATCCATTTGATTGTGGTTGAACATCTGAGCTGTTTCCATATTCTTATGATGGTGAATAATGCTGCTATGAACGTTGGTGTACAAGTCTCAGTTTGTGCCTCAGTTTTAATTTTCTCAGGGTATATTCCAGTGGAATCACAGCTTTTTGAGGAAGCATCAAACTGCCTTCCAGAATGATTGTACCATTTTATAATCCCTCCAACAATGTATAAGAGTTCCTTTCTCTTCACATCCTCTCCAAAATTTATTACTTGCTATCCTAATAAACTTTGCCAGCCGTTACTGGCATGAGATGGTATTTCATTATGCACTATTATTTTTTTAAATATCTCTTGATCTTGCCTCTGTAATATTTTCTGTGCTCCCGAAGTCAAGTCTCTCATTCAGGCTTCTGTTGCCCTTAAGTTGCATTGGCTATCTTAGTATGCTCTCCATTTCTCAGCTCGACTATATTTAGTGCATTTTCAGTACAGAGCCTATGTTCTGTATTAAATCTCTTGTTTTGAAAGCTCTCTCTCATTACCTTTCTAGTCAGAATCAACTCACAGCTGACCCTCCAGTAGATTTCTCAGACTATAAATCACATAGGAGGTGGTTTCCCATCTTTTTCCCATGGAAAAGCTGGTGGTTGACAGTGCTGCTCTTTATTCACTAGATTACCAGAGTTAGTCAGTGAACGTTTATTGTCTTCAGAATAAAGTTCTTTCTTAAGAGCTAAGGACAAAGCCTTTCAACTTATTTTCCAACCCTATGAGCCACTATTAGCATTCATACTCCCTAAACTTTAGATGAGATGAACTTCTTGCTGTTTCCTAGAAGAATCTCATTCTCATTTCTATCACATGCTAAGGTTGTTCTCCATTCCTAAACTGTTCTCCATGTCCTCCCTCATTAATCTTCACCATACTTAAATGCTCACCTCCAGAACACCTTTTCCACTAATATTTTACATTCAACACATAATACTTTGTTTGAGAAAAGTATTCATTCACCAGATAAGAAATGTTCATTTCACAAGATATGAAGTTTTGATCAGTTTCACAAGATAAGCATTGATTCCAATCCTGTATCACATTATAGAATAGATGGTATTCTTAGTGATAACATTGATAGCTTAATGTCCTCTAAGTGCTACAATAAGCCATATTGCAGCCATTTCAAAGGAGAAGGAAACACTTCCAAAGAAAATGGTAAAGCAAGTTTCATGGAAGAAATGGGGTTTTACATAGAAAATGTATTAATTGTTCAACAAAGAGAAAGGTTAACAGGGAGGTTCTTAATGAGAAAAGATGCAAAAGTGCAAACATGAAAATTAACATATAAACACAAAACAGAGCAGTTGCTATGTTGGCCTATTTGTTGTTGTTTGATAGGATTGAATAAGAATCAACCATTGCTCACTCTCTAGTAGGTTTTCAGAAGCAATAAATCTCACAGGAGAAGATTGCCCATCTTTCTCCTACAGAGCAGTTGGTGGATTCAAACCATGTGTGTTTCCATTGACAGAGCAGCTCCTTACCAGTAACCACCAGAGCTCCATACAGTGTCTTACGTTGTTGTTGTTGTTGTTGTTGTTGTTGTTGTGCCATTAAGTAAAAATGGAACCATAACTGACCCTCCAATGGGTTTTCAGAGGCAGTAAATCACTCAGGAGGAGATCGCCCATCCTTCTCTCGTGGAGCACCTGGTAGAATCTAATCGCGTGCTTTGGGGATTGCAGTGCAGCTCCTTTTCACTAGGCCACAGTGGCCCATAGTACTAATCAAACTCAAACCCGTTGCTGTCCAGTTGGAACTGACGCATAGCTGACCCTCAAGCCAGTTTTCAGAGGCTGTAAATCACACAAGAGGTGAGTGTGCATCCTTCGCCTAAGGACTTGAACTACCAGAGAGGTGCCGCCTTTGGGTTAACAGTGCAACTGCTGAGATTAAATGTCATAAATAATAAAAAAGGTAAAGTGGAATCAGGTTGCAAGATCTTTCAGTATATGGTTCTAGAAAAGGTAAGGGATCTATGTATATGGTTGAAAGTCTGTAAGAACAGGGCTGGGCTCTGCATTCACCATGTAGGTGTTAATGGCACTTGGTAGAGCACTAGGCTGATTGTAAACAGTCAATAAAAGCCTATTGATTGATATAATTTGAGTCATTTTCCCAAGCTTGTGGTTGTGATTTATGAAGTAAGCATAAAGCCTGGAGCTATTAAAGTCACAGAGAAAATGTAACTTAATTGGTTAGACTGAGAATGGGAGTTATTTTAAAGTTATTTTTGTAAATGACTTGTTGTGTCACCTTCAAAAAAAGACACTTGTTTTTCAAGGTCTGTTTGTTTTCTGATCTTTGAGGCAGAAGTAATACACTTGCTCAGCTTTTCAGACGAGGATGGAACTGTTCTCTCAGTGACTGAAAAATGTCTGGAAAAGACAGAACATTAAACAGCCACCAATGGAATTGTTGAAAAGGGGAGGAGGGTATCACAACTACCTGAATTAAAGAGTTGCATGGAGTAAGCTAGACTTTCGTAAGGCTTTGTGCCTTTAAAACCCTTCTGTTCTCCCTCATTCTGCCTTTGCTGAAATTTCATTGCTTTTACATTTCCTGAAATATGTATCAGACATACATATTCCTTCATAAATATAATGTGGTCGCAGTCATTCTCCAGGGCAGTAGTTGTGAAGCTGAAATTATTATAGTAAAATTGGGAGCATTTTCAAGTAGGAAAACATACAGAAGAAGGTCACTTGTATTTTTCTACTTAAAGGACCCCCACTCCAGAGGATTTTATGGGAATAATGAAAGATACCAACACTGCTCAAGCCCCTGTATGCTGTTCAGGGTGGTGAACAAAGGATGGTGTGTGTATCTGACAGGACAGGCTATGGGACCCTTTGTTTTGTTTGTTATCTCAAGGATCCATGCTTAGAGTGGTTCCATTTCATAGTTTACTGTTTAGTTGTTTGGTGATATACCTAAAACA